TGTGAGGTTGTTGATATTTCTCCCACCTATCTTAATTCCAACTAGTAACTCATCCAGCCTGGCATTTCTCATGATGTGCTCAGTGTATAGGTCAAACAAACAAACAAGGTGACAGCAGACAGGCCTGTCATACTCATTTCTCGATCTTGAACCAATCAGTTGTTCATACAGAGTTCTAACTGTTGCTTCTTGACCTGAATGCAGGTTTCTCAGGAGACAGGTAAGATGGTTTGGTGTTCCTAACTCTCTAGGAGCTTTCCACAGTTTGTCATGATCCACACAGTCAAAGGCTTTAGCATAGTCAATGAAACAAAGATAGATGTTTTTCTGAAATTCCCTTGCTTTCTCTATAATCCAGAAAATGTTGGCAATTTGATCTCTATTTCCTTTTCCTTTTTTAAACCCAGCTTGAACATCTGGAAGTTCTTGGTTCGCATAATGCTGAAGCCTAGCATGCAAGATTTTAAGAATGACCTCACTAGCATGGGAGATGAGTGCAAGAATCTGACAGCACATTCTTTGGTATTACCCTTTTTGGGAATTGGGATGAGGATTTACCTTTTCCAGTCCTGTGGTGATTGCTGGGAGTTCTGACAAAATGTGATCCACTGGAGGAGGGAATAGCAAACCACCCCAGTATAACTTGCCATGAGAACCTCATGAACTATATAAAAGGCCAAAAATGTATGACACCAAAAGATAAGTCCCCCAGGTCTGAAGGTGTCCAATGAGCTACTGGTGAAGAGCAGAGGAAAATTGCCAATAGCCCCAGAATCAATGAAAAGGCTGGGCCAAAGTGAATGTGACGCTCAGTTGTGGTTGTGTCTGGTGATGAAAGGGAAAGATGAGAGTGAAAAAGCTGGCTTAAAACTCAACATTCGAAAAACAAAGATCATGACATCCAGTCCCATCACTTCATGGCAAATAGATGGGGAAACAATGGAAACAGTGACAGACTTTATTTTCTTGGGCTCCAAAATCACTGCAGATGGTGACTGCAGCCATGAAATTAAAAGACACTTGCTCCTTGGAAGAAAAGCTATGACCAACCTAGACAGCATGTTAAAAAGCAGAGACATTATTTGCCGACAAAGGTCCATCTAGTCAAGCTATGTTTTTTCCAGTAGTCATGTATGGATGTGAGAGTTAGGCTATGAAAAAAATTGAGAACTGAAGAATTGAGGCTTTTGGTCTGTGGTGTTGGAGAAGACTCTTGAGTCCCTTGGACAGCAAGGAGGTCAAACCAGTCCATCTTAAAGGAAATCAGTCCTGAATATTCATTGGAAGGACTGATGCTGAAGCTGAAACCCCAATACTTTGGCCACTTGATGTGAAGAGCCAACTCATTAGAAAAGACCCTGATGCTGGGAAAGATTGAAGGCAAGAGGAAATGGTTGGATGGCATCACTGACTCAGTGGACATGAGTTTGAGCAAGCTCCAGAAGTTGGTGATAGATAGGGAAGCCTGGCGTGCTCTAGTCCATGGGGTCACAAAGAGTCGGTCACAACCGAGTGACTGAACTGACTGGTGAGGAAAAGTTAAATCTGATGCTGCAAGGAATAGTATTGTATAGGAACCTGGAATGTTAGGTCCATGAATCATGTGGATTACTTTTATTTAATTCTAATGGCAACCCTAAGAGTGGGTATAATATGGAAAATAGAAGTAAATGTCTAAGCTAGTAGATGGTGAAGAGGATGATTCCAACCCAGGTAGTATGATTATAGTGAATACCACATAGACATTTACATTATGGTACTTTAAAATGTTAAAATTAAGGACACTGTCCTTTCCAGTGTTAAGTAAAAAGTTTACTAATGATACCTTGCACAAACCTACACTAGTTTTCCATATCAAAGTCAGCTTTCCCTATTTTACCTAGAGTCCTTTGTTTGTGCTTACTTTTATTAAATCATTTATAAAGCTTTATTTTAGACACACATCTTCCTAGTCACTAGTTCAATATCCCTGTGCTGTGCTTAGTCGCCCAGTCGTGTCTGATTCTTTGTGACCCCATGGACTCCTCCTCTGGCCTCCTCTGTCCGTGGGGATTCTCCAGGCAAGAATACTGGAGTGGGTTGCCATGCCCTTCTTCAGGGGATCTTCCCAAACTGGGGATCGAACCCAGGTTTCTCACACTGCAGGTGGATTCTTTCCTATCTGAGACACCAGGGAATACCATGCATAGTGGAGTGGGCAGCCTACCCCTTCTCCAGTGGGGCTTCCTGACCCAGAAACCGAACTGGTGTCTCCTGCATTGCAGGCAGATTCTTTAGCAGCTGAGCTACCTGGGAAGCCCCACAATATCCTACTCAGGAGTAACTGCAATTACTAGATAATCTTTTCTAAATGCTTGTTTTTATGTCAAGGAATGTATAGGCAGATAACAATAATAAAAAAGTTTCTTCCTATGTCTACCATTTTAGTTTGGTTGTTAGCATAGCCAGGGAAGCACAAGTTGGACTCAGAATACTGGGTCCAGTTGGACTCAGAATACTGCTTTTTTCAAATACCAACAGATGTCCAACATTCACTTAGGACTAACCACGTGGAAAGCAAATGTATTGGGTGCCATGAGAGAAGGGAACTCTAATACGAATCACTGTGTTGGGCTCAAATTCATTCTAGGAAGACAGACACATAGACACAGATACAAATGTGACCCAGTGTAATCTAGTTCTGTGACTACTGGGTATAATTTATATCAGGAAGGTTTAGTCTTGAATGAAAGGATTTGTGCTGCCTGGGAATTGGATCAAAGAAAGTTTTACAGAGTAGGTAACTTCTGAGCCAGAATCTGAAGGACGAGAAAGGGGTTAAAAAGCACAAAGGGAAAGTTTTCTAAGTCCCACTATAAAATGCCTGTAAGTATCCTGTAAATCCTAAAATATTATATTACAATGTTCCACAAGGAGCGCTGAAATATTTGGACTTAAGCCTATAAATTTAGTGGTACTTCTCTAATTGTGTGTGTTGCTGTTATATTGTCTCTCACTTTGTAAACCTTAGTCACACACATACAAACATACACCTCTCTTAATCATGCCACACAGAATGTAAAGTGAGACATTTTGTGCTACACCAGACAGAAAGATAGTGGGAAGGTTATCGGCATGAATGCTTGGGAGTGAGATTTTTACTGAGTATAAAGCTGCTTTTAGGAAGAAGATTAGAGCAGCCATGGGTTCATTTAAGAAAGTAACCAAAATAATTAAAGATTTATTAAAGTTAAACAAGTTGAAAGAGTGAAGAAATTAGATAAAGAAAGCATATACAGAATAGATGCTGAGCTGAGAATTAATGGAAATAGGTTAGGACTTCGGTGACTATGGAACAACAACATCATCTGCAATTGTGGGCCATGTAAAAAGGGTCTAGAATGAGTATATCTAAAAATCAGGGCCAAAAACAAACTTGCCAAAACGAGAGTAGGAAAAAATTGAACTATTAGCACTAAACTTTACCTGTGGAATTCAGCGACCAAGCCAGACCCATAAAACTAATTTATTTGTATGTAGCATGCAGTCTACCATTAATAGTACCTTACAGAGAAGGCAATAGCAACCCATTCCAGTACTCTTGCCTAGAAACTCCCATGGACGGAGGAGCCTGGTGGGCTGCAGTCCATGGGGTCGCTAAGAGTCGGACACAGCTGAGCGACTTCATTTTCACTTTTCACTTTCATGCATTGGAGAAGAAACGGGCAACCCACTCCAGTGTTCTTGCCTGGAGAATCCCAGGGACGGCGGAGCCTGGTGGGCTACCGTCTCTGGGGTCGCACAGAGTCGGGCACAACTGAAGCGACTTAGCAGAAGCAGCAGCTGGTTATATTTTCTCACTTGTAGAGCACACAATATGCTGATGTCACTTACAACCCATAAAAAGCAACGATGAATGTTTTCTTACCAAGGGTGAATTTCCTTCTGTGTTTTGTATGTGTTCTTGCATGTCCTCCTCATTACAAAATGTGTGGCAGGAGCTACTATTTCCCCATTTTCCCAATTGAAGTTGAGGAGCTAAGAATTAAACAACCATCCTAGGTGATCTAGGTAGTTATTAATAGTTAAGGGGCTGGTCCAACTCCATGCTTTGGTACCTTAACTATTAGCACACTGCCTCAGAGAGGGTACCTCCCTACGACAGCTCAACTATCCTTTCATTTTTGTAGAAAAAGAGACTGGACCTTGATATGTAAGAAGAGCATCTACTAGTGTATGTATGCAAATGTGAACGTGGACCTTTTATCTCTGTCTCCTTCTTGAGAGAATGGCATCACCCAATTACTCAGTATCCAAAGCCAAAGAGGGTTTCCCCAGTGGCTCAGCAGTAAAGAATCTGCTTGCAATACAGGAGACGTGGTTTCCATCCCGGAGTTGGGAAGATCCCCTGGAGGAGGACAGGGCAACCCAGTCCAGTATTCTTTCTGGGGAAATCTTATGGATGGAGGAGTCTGGTGGGCTACACACCTGTCTGGTCACAAAGAGTAGGACACGACTGAGTGACTGGACACACGCAAAGCCAAAGAGGGAACAGTCTTTATAAATGCTTCCTTCTCAGTTTATCATATTTAGTACCTTACCAAATCCCAGCAACATCACTTTAGATCGACGGAATTCAGCCACTTCTCTATTTCCACCGCCTCAAATTTTTCTCACATAGACTTATGTGATAGCATTTCTGTTTGTTGTTTCATAATTCTTTCTCACTCACCCCAATATATTCCCTACTTTACAAACAGTAGATCACACGTGCGTGCATCACCTGGCTCATGCTCCTTTATCTCATAGCACTTATCACAGTTTTAATTTTTCCACTTTGTACATGATTGTTTTTAAAATATTGATTTTATCATATATCTCTGTATACAAGTTTTAAAATGACTTCTCATTACTTATGGAATAAAGACCACACTCCCTAGCATTAGTTAGAATAAGCTATCTTGGCAAAGATCCCTCCGACACTCATAATAACTTAAAGCTGAAGTTTCATCCTCTCCAAGGTGATGCTCCAGGGAAGGAGCTCCAGGTTGGCAGAGAATCTCCTGCAAGCAGCCATTCAAGGTCCCAGGCTGAGGGTGGAACAACCGTCTTCATCACACAGCTTCCAGAGGCACCCTGCTCTCACCGCTGGAGCCCGCAGAATGGGAGATGAGCAAGCGGAGGAAGCATGCTCACTGACTTAAAACTCTGCCTGGCAAGTAGTGACACCACTTTCGCTTGGATTTCCTTTGGAGAGAAACACATCATGTGGCCACACAGTGAAAAGCTCACTGGGAAACGTAGTCTCTGGTGGGGCAGCTCCACAAGCTACTTTGCAAAGGAGAACAGATTTAGCTCTTTCTGACCCACCCTTGGCCAACTTCATTCTCTACCATCACCCACTTCACTCCAGCCACAGCTTGATGTTTGCCTGTGAAAACAGTAGCTGTCCCTAGTTAGTCCCTACTCATAATGCAGGTGTCAGAGCAAATATTACTTCCAGGGAGGTCACTCCTCACCTGCAGATTGGGCCAGGTCCACCTGTCCATCACATAGCTCATATTCCTTTCTGTCATAGCACTTACCACAGTTTTAATCTTTCCGTTTTGTGCATGCTTGTTTATTTAGTATATTTCTCTGTCGCTAGACTTCGAATCCCTGAGCAGGTACCTTGTTGATTTTACACACCACTCTATCACTGTTTGGCACAGTAAATGAATAGGTACATAGCAACTTCTTGCTTCAATATTGTTTCTGACTTTTCCTTTAGTAGTCTTGTCACATGACATTGTGTAATTATTTCCCTTATCTTTTACCACAAGCTACATTCACTTGTTTAATAAATATGGTTTATACTACATTAGGCACGTGGATGGTAAGTGGGGTAAGAAATGGAAAAATGCGGTCTTTGACCTGAACGTTTTTATTTTGTATTTCAGAAAAGGCACAAAATGTCCTTGAGAAGACACCTTAAAAAAAAAAAAAAAGGTCTTGCAGAATAGTATAGGGTTAAATGCTGAACTGAATGGGTAATATTGACACAAAGTGTTATATAAGCTCAGACATTTAGATGAATGAGGACTGCTGTGCTGATTAAAATTTCCAGAAGGAAGTAAAGAAAGTAAAAGAAGGAAGAGCTACAGATCTTCCCCTGTAGTTGCAAGAGTGGTGCCCACACATTTCAAACACATGTGGGTTTTTAGAGACACCAGATAAAACACCAGCCCTGGACTTTTCCCGCCTAAGTCCTTAGAAATCAGAAGTCCTTAGGGAGGATGCTTTGACCGCTCATGACCTCTTCTAGGAAGCAGCTAAGAGCTTGGACTAGAGCCAGAACCACCAATTGTTCTGGCTTGTGCCCAAGCAATTGTGTGTAGCGTGGTTGGCATTCGGTGCTGTTTAGCCCAGAGGCCCACTCTCTTGTTCTCAGTGGCATGCAAATTCTCCACAGTTTAGTGGATTTGTTATAGCTTGGCCACAGTCTATAGCACAACAACTTTCATCCACATAAGCATGTCTGAAAATTTTCAGACTCTGTAGGAAGATTTGTGTACTTTAGTTGCTAGAGGGCAAGACCAAAAAAATGCAATGTACAAATGGTGAAAATACAGATAAGCACTTATAAGCATAAGGATACACCCAAAAGATGAGAAGAAATAAAGATCCCACCTGATCAAATCAAGATTTAGCAATGGATAACTAATAAAGGCAAATCGTGACAGACCTTGGTTGTCCACTCTACATCCATCCTCCTGACTCCACTTTATCTTTCCTGGCAAAGTCTACCTCCCAGTTTAGAGGCTGAAAATGTCAGACACAGCCCACAGGGAAAGTTTGCAGCTCTGATATGATCAGTGCCAACCAACTGGGGCTTGAGTACAGGGGAGGTGTTGGGAAAACCTTTCCTTAGTAACAGAAACAGAGACCCACAGAAGGGATCACTTCTTTGTCCTTCACTAGAGAGGTCATGTCTGCCTGTGCCTCGTGGAGTTATCACAGCTACATTGAAAGTGCTGAATCCTAACCATTAGACCACCAGGGAGCTCGTTATCACAGCTATGTTGAAATTATGGACATGCTGACATGCTGAAGATGGGATGGAATTCAGGTGAAAACACGGGCATGACATTAGTGAGCCAGCCTCTGTTGCTGAGCTGTCTAGCCTGTCTGGTACCCTGTTTACATGAGATCATAAATGCCCTCATAATTTATGCCACTTTTTCTTGGGTGTCCTATTACCTGCAGCCCAAAGCTCATATCTGATTCAGTATCTAATCAAATAAAATATGAGTTAGTCATCTGCCTTCTTTATGACAGTTTCTTTATAAATGATATTATTTATGCAATATGAAAAGGAATCTAAGTTAGAAATGCTAAAACTGGATGCAGTACCTTGTAAGGGTCAATTCAAGTGAGAGACGTTGAAGTTGGATAATCAATTTTGAATTAAATATATATATATATATATATAAAGATTCAATCTAGTTCTTTAAATGTTGATATAAAAATTCACATCATAGTTTCCACTCCTGAAAAAAAAAAAAGAATAATCATCATAAACCTCAAAACCTGAGCTGCAGGAAAAGACTGTTGAGTAAACCCAGGCTCAAGGCAATCTTTCTTCTTTTTCTAAAACTCCATGCCCATAATTTTTCTTCCTGAAATGTCTTCTGTCTGAAGTTCAATCATAAAATCTGTTCCCAACAGAGGAGAGAAATGAGGACATAATGGTATGATCTATGCTTCCTGCCAAGGTTGCTACTTCGGTGTTGGAGGCGCTTTGTACCCTGTTGGTTATTGGGTTACAGTCTCTGTTCCTGCCCACATCCACCAGGGAGCCCTGTGCCCTGTCTTTATTTCTTGACCTTTGTGTTTACACTATTTCCCCCTCTGTGCTCTGTTTTCCTCTGAGCTATCAAATACTTCTAATTCCTATCCGAAGCCTCAGCGCTTCCTGCCAACTCCCAGAGGATATCAGGACACTCCTGGCTTTGGCTCTGCATGCCACACTTCCTGCCCAGCATTTAACTGTTTTTCTACATACATATATATGCAATTTCTATGTCCCTACCTATGCTGTCTTTGCTAAACTTGAAAAACTTTCAAGCCATGAAACTTTTATGATGTCTTTTAATTTCCATCCCTCACCTTTTTAAAATGCACATCTTTTAACTCCTTTAGAGCTGGGAGCCTCTTGCCTACACTCTTCCATCATGATTCATTTCCAAGTGTAAAGTTTTCAGGAACACTGGGCTTTCCCTATTTGTAGACTCAAACCTCATATTTTATTCATTTGGAATGGAATTTTAAAAAATGAGTTACTAATTCTGTAGGCTTTTTGAAAGTGATTTAAATAATTTTATTTTTTTTGCTTCCCTCAGACCCCAAGTACTTATCACATTGTACTTGATTTGTTGTTTTCTCATCTCTCTCTCCGCTTATAAAGGAAAAAAAAGTTATCTAATTTCTTTTTAAGTACACTTTTCTTAATTACTAGAGCAATTTATATTATGGAGAATAATTCTTAAAATATGAAAACTTTAAGTAGTCTATATAAGCTGAATAATTATTCCAATTTTCCCCATATATCATATCTGAAGCCATAAGTATATTTTTAAATGTAAGTCTGTTTTAGTTCACTTACTATCTAAATTGCATGGGCTGCTGGTGGCTCACTTTTATTAAGTTCTATGATCCTGGTTACTTTTTAAGTAAAATGCCCTTTTTTAAAATTATATATCATAGAATTGATAATCAATTTATCATTTGAATTTTCTTTTTTGAATGTCACCCATATCTCTCTACACTCAGCTAATGCTTCTGTTCTTTCTTCTCTCTTTAATTTTGATCACTAGCATCACAGTGTCAAAATAAAAAATATGCATTGCATTTCCAACAGGGTCTCACTTGATGTATTTTTAATTGTTAAATTCAAGCCTAAACAAGAAAGTGGACAGATATATAAATAATGAATCCTTACTGTTTTTACATGCACATCATGAATTTCACTGAGGTAGTTAATAAGCAGATCAAGCGAGTAAGTTCTATATGTTGCCTTCTAAGAGAGAGAGGAATTAGAAAATTCTAAACACACTTGACTTCAAATTTAGCTCTGACATTTTGTAGCTGGTGATCTTTAGCAATTACTTAAGTTCTCTGAACCTCAGTTTTCTCATTAGGAAAATGGAAAATGTAATGCTCTTAAGTCTGTTGTTGAGAGGGTTAATTAATTTTATATAGCACCTAGGACATGATAGATATGTCACTATTAATTCTCTACCCTTCATTGCATCTGGTTATAGAGTTTTTAAGTTAGACAGGTATCTATAAATACTAGAACTTGATTTTAAACTGGACAAAAAAAGCTATATTTCCATAATCTATTCCAAATGCTTTGTTTATAACTAAGAATATTAAAATAATTTTTAACTTAATTATTATGTAAATAATTGGTGTTTTATGGATAAAAAGTGATTTACATATGTGGCAAAGTATTATTTCTATTTACAAAGGAATTTGTATAAGAAGAAATTGCATAGGAAAACCAAGGGGGGAAATCTACTTCTACTTATATTGGGTGGATGTTACAAGCACAATGAAACTTCTATATAGCCCAAACAGACAGAATCAGAAGTAGACAGTATGAAGTTTCAGAAAGCATAGACATTTAAAAAGAATTTTGGGCTCTACATTATTGTTTTACGTTTAAGCAAAGATGGGTTTGATAAAGGACAGAAATGGTATGGACCCAACAGAAGCAGAAGATATTAAGAAGAGGTGGCAAGAATACACAGAAGAACTGTACAAAAAAGATCTTCATGACCAGATAATCACAATGGTGTGATCACTCACCTAGAGCCAGACATCCTGGAATGTGAAGTCAAGTGGTCCTTGGAAAGCATCACTACGAACAAAGCTAGTGGAGGTGATGGAATTCCAGTTGAACTATTTCAAATCCTGAAAGATGATGCTGTGAAAGTGCTTCACTCAATATGCCAGCAAATTTGGAAAATTCAGCGGTGGCCACAGGACTGGAAAAGGTCCGTTTTCATTCCAATCCCAAAGAAAGGCAATCCCAAAGAATGCTCAAACTACTGCACAATTGCACTCATCTCACACGCTAGTAAAGTAATGCTCAAAATTCTCCAAGCCAGGCTTCAGCAATACATGAACCGTGAACTTCCAGATGTTCAAGCTGGTTTTA